AAGGTTGGATGTTGATCCTGACTTTTTAGTTAGTCATTTTCTATGCATGGGGAAGATATTTCTAATGTAAGAGTAGGGGGAGGAAATAGTCATTACAATTTTGATCAATTGTAAAACTATGGCGAAAATGTAAGATTGAAAACTGGTTATAAAGGTTCTGATTAGGAATCAAAGCAGTTTTCTTATTATAACTACACTGAGTTTAGATGCCATGAAACAGAGTGGGATCCAGACAGTTGATCAAGACGCCATGAAATTATCAGCCATTCATTGATATGGGAAACATGGCTGTTTCGATGACTACAAGCAAGATATCGATTCACTTAATAAACTCTGTATCCCACACTATAACTACCTGTTTGTTTTCGATGCTTGTAAACAAAACAAAAGGTTATATGTTGTGCAATGTGTTGAAACAGTACGTTATTGAAACTCAACAACCATTTGGAATTTCCTTGGACTAGCTAGACAGTGAGGCACATCTATTATGTGAATGCTGACTACGCTGACTAGTCGCCCATACTTCATTAGTTAGAACGGGTTTCGGACTTGTATTCCGTTAGTTAATCATCATCATCAAGATCAATATAGTTCCGATGGTTAGAAATCCACTAAATAAACGAGTGAGCTGCAGTTCTACATGGAAGTGTAGGCGATAGCACCACATTGTGCGTACCGACATTTTTGTGTTTGTAAATCGCTAGCTGAACACTGCATCTCAACCTAAGAAAACCGAGAAGCAGAAGATACTGGCAGTAAATACGAAGTAAGAAGACTTGGAGATCCTTTGAAAATGTATTCATTCATATTAGCCACGGAGGTATCCAGAAACTAAACTTTACAATGAATAACTGGCAACCTTTTAAAATCACATATTCAGTGGTTCGTGTTTAGTTGGTAGCTGTCTGGTTGCCTATACCCAGCTCGTTTTAAAATCTACGGTTTCTGATTTTTGTTGATTTCTTGACAGAAGTGTATGTTTTATCGTCTAAAAATATCGATGAAGGCGGACTGACAAATCAGGGTCAATTCTGACATAGGTGTGCATCATTTCACGTTGCCACATGTCATAGCAGCATGCAAAAGGAAGTAGTTGGAAAAAGTGATACTGAAATAAACAAAGGTGTGTCGGAAAGAATAAACAGATAAAATTTAATAATTATTACTATGATAAGAACTTGAAAGATGGGAAGGTATGTATGTTCATACACTGTTGTGACTGACTTTTAGCCATCGTGCTAGGATCCTTCCACCACTAATTCCTATCGTCTCGAGGTCCTCAGTCTAACAACAGTCATGGATTGATCTCAAGTCTATGTCTGGAGACCCGTAACCTTCGTCCAACCCAATCCTACTTCGATTAACATCACATATCATGGTAGGCAATTGGTCAGCCTTTGCAATACATGTTCTTATCACCTTATTTGCTGAAGGCTTAAAGCCCCAAAGGCTTACCTTCGTCGCCTAGTGTTTTGTACCCAACCTCGCAATTGCTCATGCAGTGATTCCATCACATACCACTGCCAAGTCTAGAAGGAAATCAGCAACAAACTGTTTCACCAATGGTTTGATAAACGCCAGTTATTCATGGACAGAAAACCTTCCTGTGGATTTTAATATTTCTTAATTTACCGTGAGTGAGTAATTAATGGTCCATGCTAGTGAAAACGTAATAGCTTAATAGTTTTATGGTAAACGGTTAAAAGTCCTAAAGAATTCACTGGCAAAGAAGTTACTAGTTAAATCGCATTCAGTGGTGTCGATTTTTGTACGTTTAGTACTTCATTTGTTCTATTTATGTTACTGTTAATCATTATTTCTAGTCATTTATTCCATCTTACTGAAAATTCCCATTCAGATGAAAGTTTACTGAATCATAAACCGTTTACATTTGCGAAATTCAACAACTTCCTACAGCTTGGACAGGGAACAGAAGGTATACAGCGTTACAATTAATTAAAAAGATGGACTTTCTTAGAAATTAAGGATACAAACCAGTTAATTCAGTCGTTAGAAGAGGAAGTCAAAGAATTGCCTTTTGTAAGAAGGAGCAATGACCTTTATACATTCGCTCAAAGTTGTGATGTTGTAAATTTGTGCTCAGGTGAAGATAACCCATCGAATACATCACAATTTCCATTACTTACAGGATTTAGGTATGTAAATTCTACAGTTTTATTCACCCTATGAAGTTATCCGTAATGTGTTTAGTGTTGGAGACTGATTCCGTCTCAAATTCCTCCTTACCTGAAATGGTAATCTGAAATTTATAGGAATACTCCCGTGGTCCTGAGAAACAGTAAATCATGAAGGAATCAGGTGAACTTTGATTCACCGGCGCAGAACTAGCTCCATCTTTTTCTTCAGGTATACGCATGCCTATCATTGACCCATGACTTTCAATTCGCTGAATATGAATGCGATTTTTAGATGTGAGAGTCGTTAGATTTTATAGCATTGCCTGATTTTGTAATAAATACCAAGTATTTATGTCATCCTCCTTACTAGTGAGTGGTCTAACTCTCATCATTGTATAAAAGGATGGTCTTATTCTTCATTTGATCATAGCAATCGTCCATTAGAACTCCAATTTTTCTCATTGTTAAGAAATTTTATTTTTATAATTTCATTAGGATTTCTATTTTATGGTGTAATTTGTAGCTGTTAATCGTTTGATGGTCAACAAAGATTGCTCCATGCAAACACAAATCGAAAAACAGTTGCACGACGGCATCTATTCTTCTAATTGTGTGTATGATTTAGACTCTTTTTATACTGATACCTCAGAAATGCAGTCGCCTAAGCACTGTGAGAAAAGCTGTAACATTCAGTTAATGAACAGACATAAACATTAAGAACTGTCATGAATCAAGATTGCTCAAATTTACTATAGTTCACATCAGTATATCAAGTTGGAAGTCAACACACAATGTCAATCTCATCAAGGTTCTTTAGAAAGTCACAAGCCATAAAATAAATGAGACTTTTAAGATATAAGGACAATGCATCTGAAACATCGCAAGCGATTTATGCTCGTGCCAGTGTGTCTCCAACGGTTACTTTTTGTTGTCTCATGGACCTCAACTAGTAAGCCTTCACTTCTGTTCACAGTTCAGAACAACAGTCAGGAACTTAATGAATTGGTGACGTATCTTGATTTGATTGTCATTAGCTTATCACAGCCTCATCACAATCCAGATGCTATATCACTACACTACATGTTAGATCTTTGCTTAGTATAGTCATATAGTATGTTTTCGTGAAGTACACTAACTCTTCATCTCAACTCCTTACTTTGGTTTGGAGTGTGAGATAAAGAAGTCTCACAGTGTCCATCTCAAAATCTGACTTTTATGGAGTTAGCTACTGTCACTATGAGATTTTCAGGGTTCATATAACTGCAAAATTTGAAGATTGAAGACTTAAGGACAATAAATACCAGATTTGAAAATTGCATGATTACCTTGTAGTGATTATGGACAATGAGTTGTGTGTGAAACGTTTTCCGGTAGACAGTACTCTTTCACTGTATTTTATGTCGAACAAAGTAAACGAAATGGGATTTAACTGTACCATATTGCACAAATTCAACCATCGTTTTGACAGCTTAGTCCACTTTCTGATTGTCATCCTAATTGAATAGAAATTGGAAAAAGTAATATGTACCTGGTAACTTGGTCACCGTCAAACATAGTTGAGAGGCTGTCTAAATAAATCTCATCCATCAGCCTTAGTCCGTAAGATTTATGCTTCTTTTACCAAACCCATACTGTAGTAATCTCTATACTCCCCGTTGGTAGTAGAGCACTGTAACTGAATCATTGTTTATTCCTTCTATTCTATTCACTTCGACCAGGTTAGTCAGTTAAGGTTATTAGCTGATACATAAATATATGAGTGACTGGTAACTCAGTACATAAAAGTGAGTTGCGTCGTTTCTAAGTCGAATAGAAAAATGTCTACTTATTGTTTGGACTATCCCTATGTAGGTAGCAGCATCTGGTAACTAGTTCACGTGGTAGATAAGTACTCATTCACTAGTATCGTAAGTCTTTTTAACACAGGTGCAAACTACTCGTCACTATACTCATGTTTGATAGCGAACTGTCAAAATTTTCATATATCAGTAGTTATGTCAATGCTTTTAAAAGTATGACGGATATTTCCCACTATACAGCTTCTATTTGTGTCACATTTGCCTTCATAGTGATGTTACTGTGACTGTAAGAAGTTGTGTACATAATTCTGTGCTGTCAGTTCCACTTCACACCTCTGAGATCTAATATGTGAACTTTAGACGTTAATAAGTTCTCTTTTTCACTGTTTTCATTGGATTTCTCGCATTCAGTGGCAACACTGTAGGTAGTTCTAAGGTTCAGCAGCGCGTATTGATCATGCTATGGAGCTATCATTAGTCTAACACAACTATTCTTCATCCTCTTAAGGTACCATTTCATACGTTGGCCATCTCCACCTCTTCTAATCAGTTTCAGGGCAGTGTAGGGTCCACTGAGACGGGATACATGACACATGTTCAAATTACTGAGACCATTATTTCGAGATGGCCGCACTATATGAATGATGATCTTCATCACACTTCACCTTACTGTTTGCTAAACCTAGGTTTGGTTGTAAGTAGCTGATGAGTAGCCACTGTATGAATTGCTATCATGGGATGAACAATAGTTGTGTTGGGTCTGCATTTACTGGGAAGTGAGAGTTTTCTAGATATGTCTTTTTTGTTGTTGTTCCCTCTATCGCCCTTCTTCTATTTCTTATTGTTGTCTGTCTTCCGGATACGTAGCGACAAAAGGCAGCCAGTAGGGGTGTTGTTTTCAAGTCATGATCAAATCGTGTACGGTTCATGATTTATGCATGCACTGACATGAGAACGTGATTGGAGAAATTCGACCTCATACAACAAATCAGATTGGTTCATTGATGGCTTCACTTTCTGAGAGTTTTGTGAATACATATATGTCATGTATGTGGGTAATAACACTTTTCGTTGTTTTTGCAGTTACAGCTGGTGTTTGTTTTGTGATTTTTCGCGGCTAAGTGAAACGGAAGGTTCTGAGGGGGGGGTCAGTCGTTGAAGTATTTGGTTGTGGTGTCTATTGAGTCTCAGTATCATTATACCCACGCACGCAACCCCACTTGGTCATAACGCTTCCTTTCAACTATTTTCGTAGAATTTTTACGTGACGCGTATCCTGTTACCCTTGGTGTACTGTAATTGCATTGTAGATAATAAATAAATAATATTCATGGTTGAAAAGCAAAACGGTAAACTGTTCACTCAAGCTGTCGGTTTGATATGTTTCAGTATTTCTCACCATATAATTATCGAAATAGTTTAATCTAGTAGAATAAATCGCTTAGTTTTAGTTTACTTACTCTGTGCATTTTGTGTACCTAGGACATTCTTGTTGAGTAGTGTTCTTCCCTGGTTGAAAGATCTAACGGGTATTCCATTGTGTGAAATAAAGTCGATTTGACCTCATCGATTTATAAACATGGGAGTAAGTATGCTATTTGTGTGTGTGTGTGTGTGTGTGATTCTTGTTCTATTTTTTTACACCCCGAAAAGTTTTCATTTTCTACTGGTTACCGTATTATCAAAACTGTTTAATGCAACTCAGCTTCACTGGATGTATTATGAAAGAGTTAGTCAAAGTTGTTGTATGGGGGCTGACGTTATACTACCCGATTACCTAGACTGAAGTAGTAGATGGGTTGGGATTCGAACCCGTGGTGCATTGCTTGAAAGTTGGGTTTTTAAGTCATTGTATTGCAGAGTTTGCAGTAGGTGACTAGTGTAGTAAATAGTAGCATGTGGTTGTTATTATGGTGTTATAACTGTATCAGTATGATTTCACCACTGTTTTCTCTATATTCGTTTATGCTGCATCTGAGTTGGTAATTCATTCCGTATGGATCTACAACTTCTTGTATAGCCAATTTATGCGTAGACTAGTCGCTCGATTATCCTCCCAACATCGGTTATATGCAGGACAAGAACTGCTACTCATTATATCCATGCTATTTGTGCTCTAAATCAAGTCATACATATTGCGATTGAATTGTATCCTCACAACATACAATAGTTCACAGAAGTAATATAACTGATTTTACGCATACAAAACAGGGTTAAGCAAAATAACTAGTTTTCGCCTTACTAGACACTTTTTTCGGGAACGTAAATCATATGAAAACAAGTGAAAAGTCAATAGGAAGTGTTTGAGTTGAGCTGTATCATAGTATTATTCAATTGGTGAGGTTATCAACCTTAGTCGACTGTGGTGGCTGGGGCATGTAGTGCGCAAACCTAGCCACCGACTACCTCGACGTACCATGCTTGGGAAAGTTGGATTAGGTTAGAAGAGTCCAGGTTGGTCAGACAAAGATGAGGCACCGGTACATGAATTCCATGACTGTTTGTCTAAGCCGCGTAGGTAGGTATAGGGTTACTTGACTGGGGTCACCGAGACGATAGGAATCGATGGTTTAGGACTCTTTGTGACATGGCTGAAAATCGGTCACAATGGCGCAGATATATTCACTATTTGATGTCTTCAAAAGCCTGAATGTCTTGACTAAACCTACTTTTTAAATAACCTCCATTCCCATACTTCTTTTTATATTTTCATATTAGCCATTTTCTATCCACTTGTTCTTTGTATACTATTGTGAGGTGAGGCAACTTGAAGTGATGCACTTGTGTGAGAGTGCATTGATTTTGTCTATCTGACAGTATTACTATTAAATAATTCCCAGATAAAAGGTTTTTTAAAACAAACAAGATACGACTAACATTGATACTCATTTCAAATTCATGTGTTCCTTTCTTCGGTCTGTATAACATAAGGTGATTAGATGACTAGGTGTATGGAGATCATCAGTAGAAATTTGTGTATCTTGTTTACTGACAAGTTGTTGACACATTGCTCAAGTGAAACTGGAGTATCAAGGATTCCGATTTTCTTCCTGAGATGTCAACGTTTGGTGTTCATTTTTATGAGTACAGTGACTAATTTGAGCAGGATGGTGTAGAGGAGAAGCTAAAACTATTGAAACAAAGCCTTGTGGAAAACGGTTGTTCATCACGTTTTGTAGAGTGTGATAGTAGACATATCATAAAATATTTGGAAATAACTACTGTGCCAAGAAAAGAGGTGTGGATTAATCTAGAATCCAGAGGGGATATTCCAGACGAAATGCTTAAGAAGTGTCTGACAAGTTCACTAAGGAAAACATCTTATGCCGCATCTCTACGCTTAACCTGCTTCAACTGTTCCTTGGTCGACACTATCGTTACCTTGGCTATCGACTTCGGTATCCATCTACATGCTGACCAGCTCTTCAGGTGCTCAATCACCGTTGCCTTCGTAGTTTAGTCCATGTGTCATGAGACTATCACATCAGTAACGTAGAAGTCAGGCTAGAGTCTTAGGTAGGAGATAGCGGGTTGTTGAGGTTTATGAGCCTTCATCGATGCAAATGATTGGGGCATGTGTTACGCATGTGTAGTCAGAATGCCCCATCGCAAAATGTTACCTGGAGTGTGTTTAGCTGGAAAAATGTTGAAAGCAGTTGGGTTGAAATATGGCATCAGTTCATTTAGTCCCTAACTGTCGGTTTGAGCCATGTAGGCAAATTTAGACTTCCCGGTTGTGATGCGCATGTCAACTGAAGCATGTAGTTGGAGATTCTGTATGATATGGCTTAGAATCGACCTCCCTGGCGCAGATGCATTCACATTTGATTTTAATCGTCATACAGACATACTGACAGATATCGAACGACATCGAGTAGGTGATCTATCAACTAGATGAAGATAACTTATACTTTACCAAGTTCGTGCAGTTAGTCAGTCAATAAGTATGAAGCATATCCCTTCAGATGGAGTTAATCAAACGACCAGGGTAATCCAACCTCTAGTACAGAATAGTCAACCAGTCAAGCCGGCATGACCTTCAATCCACTCAAACGCAAAGACCAAGGAATCACAACGAAGCTGTCTTAGTGTACTTCGTCCCAACAAATGAAGTCAATTACCGTGTTAGTTGCCTGCACCTCTGAAAAAGCGGGGGGCAAAATGTCAGTCGGTCAGGTTAAGCAAAAGCCCATACACTAATTAAACGATCAGTCGGGTTGGGTTGGTTGGGAGAGTCACGTATCATAAATATCCACGTAGAGTAAATTTACTTCGTTCCTTTATGAAGCACTGATGATCCACTGTTGACGATATATTGGATGACATCGAGTTGTTTGCCAACCGAAATCTCACATCAGAGAACATCTCAGTGTAAACTTCGAAGTACTCAGCTACAAATATTCGTGGTATACTTTTAAAAAGTAGAGATTAGTTAGTATTGTGTGGTTAGTGAAGCGATTGGTCATATCTCCTTTCAGTCTATTTGTTGCCGAACATATTTCTCTTCTTTGTACATCTGGCATTCAGTGGTCCAGTGATATGAATACTGCAATTATTTGTCACCATATATTGGTCTATTTTTTCTTCACTGATCGAATTTTGTGTAGCAAAACAGCTTAGCCAATGTGTACACTTACAATAGACTATCCCGAATTTAGTGAATAAACATGTCATTGCCTTCCACATGCTCATTATCACACACTTTAAAGTGGGACCTTATATGTTTAACTAACGATCTCTACTTTTTGTACCTTTTCATAATTTTTGTTTTGTCTAGATTATCTTCTCTGCCACGATGACGAATTGGAAGGTCGTCGTATTGCATTTATCTGGTATTTAGTCCCTGATGAGTGGGACAGGGAAAATAATGGTGGTGAATTACAATTGTTCGAGAGTGAACCGGTCGATGACAATAAGGATAGTGTGAATGCAGGAAAATTTATGCCTACAGCGATTTCCACTACTTTACCACCAAAACGCAATACATTCACGTTTTTTGAAGTATCACCGCGATCGTTTCATCAGGTAACAGAGTTTCATCTTTAATAAATGTGCTTATGTAACTGTGAGAGGATGTGACAGTTTTGACGTAGTTTGCTTGGTGGTGACCGTCAGTGAATTCACTTTCCGTCTTGTTTGAGACTCGTCAACTAGACGTACTTGTATCTCAATGAATGACTCGAGCCTGACACTTCGGACACCTGAGAGTGTTATCCATTAGGCTACTGATTCGTTGGGAGCACTTCTTACTGAATGGTTACCAGTTGTAGTTTATTGATTATCTTGACTTCTCTCTCTCCCTCGCTCTTCACAGAACGAAGATGAAGTGCCTAAACGAGATACTAACTGTGGTGAATTACTCCTGTGGTATTGCTGTCTATGGTGAATTTCTTAATGATACACTAGTTGTGATTTTCATCATATGTGTCCACAACTTGCAACAACATTCATTTGTCTAAATGAACCTTGTGGGCTGTACAAAGCCATATCCTATTAGAAATTCAAGATTTCATTAAGTTTTAGGTTAAGTTCCAAGAAGTGATGATGACGATAAAGATATTTATAGAATATGAACTGGTTCGTTGTTAAAGAGCCATCTAATCGTGTAGCACAAATGTGGACGATGCATGCACAACTAACATGTCTCCCTTCCTTTCGGGTAATGTCAGGTTTTCAAGCTGTTGTTCTAGATCATATGTGTATCCATTTAGTTAGTTTGATATGGGGAACATTTCATATTTATTTTCTACAAGTTCACATTTGTTGTCAATAAACTTCAATTTGGCTTTTAGTAACCAACGCGTTCCACTATGTGTCTGTGAAACACCACCATTAGAGGTGGAGGACGTGAGAAGGATTGACATGTTCCACTATTGTCTTCTTCGTAGGATAGGACGCAAAAGTCAGGCGTAGAATTTAAATTTAGTTGACGAGATTATGAACCTTTATGGATTCATTCTGCTGGGAGGTGTGTGACGCAGGTCTAGTTGTCATGTGCTAGTCGCGCACAATATTAACTGAAGTGAGTTGGACTGAAAAAAGAGTGGACGTAGTTAGAATGTTGGTCTGAGCAGTGTGGGAAAATATAGACTTTCAGGTTGAGGTCCACGTGACATGACTGAGAATCGATGTTAGTTACACAGGCGCATCTGCACACACTGATATCGCTTTTTAAATCGATATCAGCTTAGAAGTCGACATTTTCCTCGAACTAAGGTGGTATGTTCTATTGTCTATTGGTACATATAGATGTTGCTCATTGACAGAGGTGAATATCTTCCAACCAGAGAGTGTCACATTCGAATCCCTCTCCAAGTAAATAAGCCTCACCGACCTGGTGGTATCTGAAACTCTCACACTTTAAGTATGATTCGCAATCTAGTACATAAAACAGACCGTGATTCGTTGTGCTGTACTAACATTTAATGAGATGACCTTGAAGAAGCCATTTTTATTGGTTAGAATTTTTGTTAATTCATCACCGACTGCATCTATCGTCTTGTAGGTTGCTGAAGTCTTGGGTCATTCCAAACGTGTATCATTGCATGGATGGTTTCATGGACCAAGTCTGTGGACCGTCAGTAATAATACAGTCCAGTCGATTGAAAAGATTTCGCCTGTACACATAGAAGTAAGTTGTTTAGGAATTGTTAATTAACGTTTCATTCCTTCGTGGTTTGTTGTTTGGAAACGACTCTATGCCTTATCAATATTCGTGACTCATTTGATTATTTTATCAGAAAAGGATTGTCGGACTTTGGTTCCGGTTTACTTAATAGCTTTTAGATAAATGTTTTCAGTTTACACCATGGAGTACATTCAGAGTAGGATTGGATTTCGCTTGATTGTGAATGTGTAAATCAACTCTCAACTACTGCATTACAAGTTTCAGGCTAACACTGATTTCCTATCCAGGGATTGCATGTACATAATTATGTCCGATTGCAAGTCATATTGTCTAAGTTTCTAAGCATTAACTCGCCGTCGTCATGGGTAAAGATCCTTTGTGGTATGGCTCAATGTTGATCACAATAGCACAGGTGTAGCCACTCATCTTCGATATTTTGAACATATTTACTAACTTTGGTAGATTGATTTGTTCTCTCTCCTTTGATACACTTTTCAAAGTGCTAATTTCATTCTTTTCTGTCCACTTTTTCTTTGAGTGGAGTTGTGACGTGTGGCAAATGCATGCATGATATGCAGGTTTTCAAAAGCTATGCTTCTTCTCTGGGAGTGCCCCACATTTTCCATTTATGTTTGTATGCTACTTGCAATTGTTTCAAGTAGTATAGATGTTGAGATTGAACCGTTTTACTTATTTCAGTACTGTATGATGTATCACTGCTATCCGCATTGTATTTCTGTTTTGTGGTGGGTTCGCCATGTATGGGGATTCAGTGTCAAGTGGTTCGTCTTTTTTGCGTTGGGGGATAAGCATAATGTGACTAGTTATTCAGTTGATACATTCATCAACAACTGTGAACACATTCTCTTCTAGTTGGCGGATAAAACGAAAAGCCGGTGGTCATTCGTATCTCATGTGGTCAGTAATTCAATTCAGACCACCCTGTCTTTCATTTATGTTCATGCCTGTATTCTGCTATTGTTCTACTTTGTATTGGACATTTCTTACCACCCATATTGTATCAGGTTTGTGATCAACTGAATAACAAACAATAATATCAACGCTAAATTCACTACATGAAAGTGTTTAGGGATCTTGTATACTGGTGGAAGTGTGCGGGCGGTTCACATTCATGGACTACCCACTCTGTGAGAGGCTATTTCTTTTTGAGGCCTGCTCACTCATGGCTGTTTTGAAAGCTCGAGATTTTGCTTTATTGTTTTTGAATTCGACTAGGGACCCAGGTCGCCGTGATTGGCATGTCGTGGGATAGTTAAGAATATGATATTTTTATGGCCGACCTTTTCTTTTCCCCACTTCTGATGAGGTAGGTAGTATCAGTGTGGCACTGCCGGTCATTGGCGGTAAACATCTTACTGCTGTCACTCTCCCGTCCAACCAGCCGTGCGACTTCGCCCTCAGACCCTCTTCAAAGCATAATAACTTATACTACAGCAACAACTGCTTTTTGTCTATCCGACAGACCTTTCTGATACTGTAGGACCTCGAGGGAACACCTGTTACACCGGAATAGCTCGTTGGGTCATTGTGATGTGCAAACCCGACCACTGTGTTAAGGTATCAACTATCGGTCAGTTCTTCCAGTTAAACAGATTTGGAAAAGCAAAAGAACTATGTTTATGTTTGTATGTATGACTTACTCATATATGTTTTGTACTTGAAATGATGTGTATATCGAATTGAAACAGGTTAGTCAGTGACCGTTTCATTATTTCGATGAACAAAAGTACCTGATCCTCCTCATGGATCTCCTCAATCCACTTAAATATTATTGATGGTAGACTTCCAGGCATTGGATTATCGGGATGCTGCATGGGTCAATGATTGTTGGTGTATTTCATTCGGTGATATTTGTTAGATGATAATTCCCATTGGGTATTCTTGCCGAGTTGCCATAATTCAATAACGGTGGACGTAGTTTATTGAGCAGTTACTTTTCAGTAGGACTCAAATAGGTTAGATGTGGTGTATAGGTATAGCGGAATGTTAGAGACAATTCTCTTTCCTTGTCTTCATTGCTTCTCGTAGAAGATTTTGAGCAGTTGATATCTGTAAACCTTTCATCTTTTACATTCTCTCTTAGGTCTTGGCAGAATTTCCACACTAGTTTTCCATAGTGTTGGACCATTTTTAGGCCATATATTCATAGCTAACTGTTCCGTTGGATATTGTGCTCTGTTGATTCATATAGATATCTGAAGGCTTTTACTTTGTATAAGGAGCATTATTTAAACATTATTATTCGATTTGTTAAAGTCATGTGACTCAGTAGCAGTTGCAGTTACTATTGAATTGTCAAGTGAATGAAAGGAAATACGTGAACGATACTGACGCAATGAGACACTTGGATTGGATACGAATAATCACTGTCCTCTCTCAGTATCTTATGCTTCAGTGAGCCACGAAGATATTAGAAGACAAATACAGACCTGGACTGAAAGGAAGACACTCTATTCGACACAAAACTGCATCAGTTGCATACAGTTTCAAGAATATATGGAACCACTAGGTCAAAGTTAAGTAGCTTATTCTTATTGGTCAACTGTAGGATAAGATTGTCCAATAAGGTTTTTCCTGACCACACAGCGATATGAAACAAACATTGAAATGCAAAAACTTCTACCTTAGTGACTGATCACTTAAAATGTTAATTTCTATTTAGGCCGCCTCCTGTCAACGCACCCGATATTTGGACATGATAATGCTTGAGAGCACTTGAATTTAGATAATGGATGACAGAAACAGCAATATTGGTAGTTATGGTTATAATTATGTTGGTAGTTATGTAGGGGACGAGAATGTCGAATAGGTTAAGTAGGATGTTTAGATAGCTCATAGAGGGCATATGACTTACAAAGCTGGTAGAGCTAATAGACAAATGAAGGGTTAGGCAATATTAGTTAACTGAGATAAAATGAATGCGTGTTTTCTCTGCAAGTTATAGTTATCTGAAAGATTAAGTGAGACAACATTTCCCAAGGAACTGCAACATTTCAAATCCATTGTTTTTGGTTTGTTTTACTTATTCACTGAGTATCAGCAAGACTATTTGTCATGGTTTAATGCTAGGTGATAATCGAATGTGAAATAGAAACCTGGATTGTAGTAGAATTGGAACTAGTGGCCTGTGGTTTATCAGCTTGGTGCTCATCACAAGGATATCTGGTCCCTTATCAGGTTTAAGAATGATTATATCTGATCTGTTCTGTAATTCTCTCAAAGATTTGAAGTGCTATCAACTCAAAATGCTTCTTTGTCTTGTTTCTGAACTATGGAATTGGTGAGAAATATCAACTAATTTAGCCTTTAACCAACTTTGATTATCTGAAGAGATAGGGACAAGAGGGCTCAATTGGCCATAGAGATTTTCAAACTGAGCATCAATATCCAATGGAGAGATTTGCGTGTATGGAACTGAAAAGTTGAATCCAAGGGGAAGTTCCTCTTTCTCATGAATTGAAAGTACAACAGAAGACAAATTAGTCACATATTTTTCTGGGACGCATGGAAATGAGTTTGCATGAATGTCATTAGAAAGGGATCTAGACAATTTTTGCCTTGTTCTATCCTTCGTTTTACTGATTACGGAGCTACAAAAATTGATGAATTTAATGTGGCATAAAAGAGAAATATCCGACAATACAGATGAAGCATGAGTATGCATTTCAGTTAAGCTGCATAACTTCTCATTGCAATTATCTATGTGTGATTTCATAAGCCATTCCTAGATATACTCCTCAGTCGACGAAAAGATGGTTCAATAAGACGGTCAGTTTACAGAAAGCCTATATGGACAGGACAATTCCTGAATTTTCACAGTTTTCAACCATCCAATACAAGCGAGGCCTAGTAAAATGCCTGTTTAATAGGATCTATCGTGTCAGTACACCAGATGCGATGAATGAAGACACCAAATTACTGACCAAAGCACTTAGAGAAAATCGATATCCGATGAAGTTTATGAACCGTTGTAGAGGTCAAGTAGCACTAAAGCCAACTCTATACACGGTCCCTAAGAAAAGCTTCCATATCACTCTACCATACAGAGGGGAGCTAAATAGAATCATTTTGAGACGTAGGCTGACATCAACCATTAGGAAAACGTATTACGTGGCGAATCTTACCATTGTGGAGAAAACAAAACACATGCTTCACAAAAAATCTAAACACTGTATAAGTGATTACGTCACATCCCACTGTGTTTACCAATCTACATGTGTGTGGTCATACATACATAGGGAGGAGTAATCGAGTCATGCAGTTGAGGGTGGGAGAACATGTGTCTAAATGGCTTCAAAAACAAATGGAGCATAGAACAGTGATAAACGCTGGCGGGAGATGACCCTCTTCATCTATAGCTAAACATATCATAGAAGCAGGTCACAAAGTTAATGTCCAAACAGCTTTCAAAGTTTTATATAGAAACAGTCATGGACGTATTCTGAGGTTTGCGGAAGCCATAGCTATACACAATTTGTTCTTACACTACACCTACCTTGGTAAACTTTGTTTTCTACCAAGATAAGGACCAACTGTGTCACTTGCCGTTTGTTCTCATCTTTCTTAATTTTAATCCCCTATTGTGTTAATTGTTGTATTTGTCCCCCCACTCCTCAGTTTAATATATATTGACTTGACAAGTGAATGTGTGATCAGATTGTTCGAAATGTATTGTGCAAATACATCACATTGTTCAGATAAACTTCGTCTTCTAATTACCCTATCGAAATTCATAAAAAGGACTAACTGTTTCAAATTTTTTGAAGAGAAGTATTAATATGGTCGAATGCTATGATGTGTTACACCTGCTATCACAGGAAAAGAAAAGTCGAACTGTTATATTTATTTATTAGACGACGTATTCATTTCTAATCGATCGATAAATATCAAGTCACTGTGTTGATTTATATTGACCTTTCTACACAACTTTATCACTTTCCAGTCACTTTAACATGTTTCACTCTACGTGGTATCAATTCATTTTTCGTTTTTTTGGTGTGTATCCCCTAGGAAGAATTAGTTTATCAGTGGATAAATCCAGTTTACTTTAATCCACAACAGGTGAACAAAATTCGACGGCGGTTTTGTAGATCTTCAGAAATCCAGTTGACTAATTTTATAAAAGTAAGTCATATATATATATATATATATATATATATATATATATATATATATATAATCTCGGAAACGGTGATGAATTTATGATTTAAATCAGGTAATACGAGAGATGTTATTCATTCAGTAATTTTATAGGGCTTGGTTGATTCCAACCTGGTATTCATCATGAAGTGACATCGGTTGAAGAAAGATAGAAAACCTCAGAGCACTGCACAGCTGTTTCTTCCTAGTATGTGACTATTCACCAGTTCACACTAAAGATGTTGAGGCGTCGAGCCTGGGGTTCCCAAGTTTCACACTGAACTTATTACCACTCTGTGAATGAGTTCCGCTTGCATCAGCGGTTCTAGAGTCACTCCATACTTACCACTGAGTAGTGTACGACATTTGTCCGTTGCTACCCTTTGATCTCCAATAGATGTTTGACCGATATCGCTGTAGTGCAAACCACTTTATTGTTCTTATAATTACCACTGGAAGAATCTGCTTCTTCTGTTGGTTCACCAACTGTGACCTGTAGCACTCGACAACCAATCTGTCTGTAAGACAAGATTTTAATTGTGATAAACCGTAGTCGACGGTCGGCATGTGGATGTACAAGTTAATTCGGTTACCTATGATTGAGTTTCACTTGATGGATTTTCCGCTTCTAAGTGAGAGCATAATCTTCATTTGTTTTGCGTTTAACAATATCTATCATCCATCGTTCAGTTTTGTTAAGTTTGTCAAATGAAGTGATTCAACTGGAAACGGTTTTCTGTATGAAGGCTTTTTTTCACAGCAGGTGTTATATTTTATGTACGCAATACACGCTGTAGACTACGTTTACTTGGTTTACTCACTTCAGTTGTTTACAGCACTTATTATCTACTATATAAGTCGTAATACTGTCACTAACATCCTATTATCCTAGTGTAATCTGAGCGTGGCCATTTCCCAAATCGATTCCCATTTACAATTCTTAGCACTTCAACAGTGTGGACACATTCAGTTTGTAAGCCTTGCCTTTCACCGTATTTCGCTGAAATATCTCCGTGATGAACTGACATGGACGTGTAGAATTACTTCATCATTTCAGTACGACAATGCTGTAACAGCCTAATAATTTGAGGTCAGTCGTATCTACAAATAATCATCGATAAATCTCATTAGTAGCCAGTGTATGAGAGAATATGTAGGCCGTACCAGGTAACATCATAAACAACATTCCAACGACTTATCAAAACATAAGATAGTTACTCTCTTCTTGTAGCATATCATGCGATATCACCTAATGAGTTGAGCTTTCCAATAGCTACTTCGTATGATCTCAAGTATGACGTGATTGGAAATAATATTACGTGCTTTAAAAATTGACTAATATAGGTGCTTGTACAGTGAGTGAGAGGTCGTTTACATTGTGTTTGAGCATTTCTCCAACGGTTACTTACTTTTTTCTCAGGGAATTCAACTGTATGCCCTATTTGAGGGAACCAGAGTGGACTGATGGTCATTTGTTTGCTACTGACTATGCAGATGTTTTCAAGTGGGTGGGACAACTCTGTATGAAGCGTGGTTGAATCATCACAAATTCTATTGACAGCTATTTTCGTTTAACAGGGATCTCGTCGTGAATGTGAAGGTGATTCATTGTGCATTAACTTTCTGTATATAAGCTCCATATGATTCCAGTTAGTTTAAAGCAGTCTCCTTGAAGACTGGTATCTCAAATGACTGCCTGGAACTATAAACATGAACTGCGAGGAAGAGTGGATTGCTTACAATCACTCATATCCTTCAATGTGCACTGTAATGCCCAGAGTAATTACACTGCAAGAAACTTGGTTACATGAACTTTATGATGACAATTCGGTTTTTCTGATTGGTTTCAAAACTCTCCATATGTATATTTATATATACCCAGTCGTATGAGATATGTGTAGGAACTGTTGGGAAAGAGTGCCCTTGGAAGCATTTCAAACCACACCCAAAGTATGGTGAAAATATACAGATGATACGCTTATTTTTTTGAAATCAAAACGTATTCACAGTTTCTTCAAACGTGTTAGCGCAATACTAACTGCAATCCAGTTTACCTATGAATCAGAAAATCTAGAAGAAAAATTACCCATGTCACATTGAGAAATCAAACAATGAGATGATGTCAATTTATATAGCACTGTTTACGGGAAGCTATGATGCTGGATTAGCTTTCATATTGTCTCACTCTATGTCTGTGAAGGTAGGCGTAACAAAGTGGTTAATTAGTCGAATTAGGTGTTTAACTAGTAGGTCAAAAGACTTAATTAAGAAATTCAAACATTCTACTATCTAATAAATATCCTTTGGATTTCAATAAAAGGGTAATACCAACTCATATGGGAAATAAAAATAAGTATATCGATAATTATTCTGATATGCCTAAGAGGATTTCAATCTTCTTTAGTGTTTACATGTTAAGAATGGACATCGTTAATTTCACTTTCAGTTTTTGAATTAGGATGTTATATAAACGCATGGAGAGAGAAACAGTATAGACTTAAAGATCTTGTAGACATGTTGAGACAAGATAATCTAATGTATCAATAATAACATGTAATGACCGTGAAATCAAGTAAGTGGATCAAAGTAGCCTCCCTTAGCAGGATAACTCAGGCTGGGCACTGGGTGTCGTCTCTGTCAACGAGGTAAGGGTAGATACGTGAACTTTGAGACCTTCTCTGTTAGTAAAGGTGCATATCCTGTTGCGCATACCTCATAGTTGGTGACGTTTGGTCGACCTGGAAAACTGGGAAAGGTCCAGAAAACAGAAATAGATGATTGTAATTAATTTGTATGTTGAAGAACTAAAGTTTAACGAAATGCACAATGAATGATAGACCTTACTGATATAAGTAATCTAGGGAAATGGAAAATACTTGACTATCGTTATTCATGAACTGGGTTATAATCACACTGTAGGAGGAATAGTTTTAAAATCCATTGTAGATAGGTTGTAAGAGATTGATTACTGAACTTTTGTTCTTCGACTCAGCACCTGTGGTACATGCAACACGAATGTGAATCATTACATGTTTCAGACAGTTACAAAATTGTACTAACACTAGAAATAAAAGAATAAAGAGTTGCTGGACTACTTGAATTTCACATCTATGTGGTTGCTTTTAGCATGATTATGAACAGTAAATCGTTCTCGAAACGTCATCCAGTAAATTAGATGGTATCACTATGTACCATATGAAATAAACTAATTTAGTATGCAACCAATAAGTCAACTTAGTCCTGAAGTATACTTTTAGTACGTATAAAGGTAATATAAACCAATTTCTCTTGTTTTTTAAACTTAGGTGGATAAATGGAAGGAACTTGTACAATGCCTAGATGGCATACCTGCGAACAACTGGTTTCATTGTGGTCCTGCTAACAGACGGTAAATGTGACATTGAGTAGTGATGTTTTTGCCTTGATTATTTTGCCTTCAGAAAATGTTTTTTGTTGAAGCGTTTTCTTGTCTGTTGACATTTAGATGAATTGCACTGCCATGCGTAGAGGGGAAGATGCCCAGGAATCAGCATAACTTTGTGGTTGTGGTTAGCAGAAGAATCCAGGACGCACGTCTCGTCGTATTCAGGACTCGTCAGCTGGGTGTGCCTGCACCCGAGTGGGGAGTGATGTTATCCTCACTGAGAGTCGAACTTCGTACACATCGCTTCAAACACCAAAGCGTTATCCACTAGGCCACTGAGAGACGGTAGCCACCTCTTGTACAACGGGTATTAGTTATTACTCTTTGTTGGTAGCCGCAACAGACTTAGACTGAAACAACTTCAAATGCAGCCATACAGAAACATAAAGTCAGTCGTTGAAGTCCCTGATTGATCGTCTAAGCGGTGTACGGGAATGTAGAATACTTGGTTGAGGTCAGCGTGACAACGTAATCGGTGGTTGTGGACTGTTGGTGAAATAGCTGAAAATCGATGTCATTGACGTAGATGTATCCAAGCGTCCTAATCACTGTGTCGTCTATACACTTCGGTCTTTTCTGCATCAGTTCATTTCAAAACCATCTCTTGAGAAATATACCATTAATGAACAACTTTAGTAGGGAATTATTCAGGTTGATCTGTAGATTTCGCTAGCGAGATCAGAGTGATCTAATCACCGGATGGCCGTTTTCGTTCGCTTGGGGTCGAGTTCACCAGTGGGTGTGCCCAGATAAATTCATCTCAGATCTAAATTAGTTCAGATCACCTGGATCTGGCTAGCTGACTTGCATGGACCAGTATTCGTTCAACACGATGATCTTGGCCTTGACATTTCCTACAGTTGAGTAGTTTTTCAACTGTTGACATGGACCGTACAATTTGCAAATCATTTGCAAATTGATCATCCTTTTGAAGGTATGCTGGTCCATGCAAGTTAGCTAGCCAGATTCAGGTGATCTGAACAATAATTCTGCTCTATGAGATGAATTTGTCTGCGTATGTCACTGAAGAACTCGGTCCGAAATTGAACGAAAAGGGTCGTTCGGTGTTTAGATCCCTCTGATATGGTTGGTGAAATCTACAGATCAGCTTGAGTGATTTCTGACTGCTCAACTTATTTAGTAGTAGTATATTTGAGTAGTTCATGACACCTTTGTGTCGGAGATGAAATCTTGTGATCTTGGATGCGGGGTGGTCGCCAACAGAAACCCTGTTGACACCAAAGTTGGTTAGTTGGGCAACTACTCAGCTATAAGAAATGGGAAGGTGGACAGTGAAGTTGGTAAGTCATTTGGAAATTAAAATTATTTTCCCTTATAATTTACTTGTTTGTGGCTAGGAGAGGAATCCAGAACGCGCGTTTTGTAAAATATACCAATAAATATTCAGGCAATACCGAGGGGTCCGCATAGGAATCCGTATGCCAACAGAGGTTGGTCAATTGGATACAGTTTAACAAGAGAGAATTACAATTATATCAGCAACTAGTAATGCAATCATTTTCGTTTTAAGCAACTGTTATGAATTTTACGATATTTTCATACTTTTTTTTTCATTTCTGAAGGAATTATGACTGTCTGTCTGTCAGTGAAGACATTGACAAATTTACACCTGATTTATGCCGTCAAATTGTTCGTCTTTTCAAATCTGAAGCAATGCTAGTGATATTGAGTGATCTCACAGGAATTCAATTGCATCCATGTGGGTTAATCAGTGAAAGTGGTAAAACTGGTGTTGATGAAGATATTGCCAGTAAGGTTGGTTGAGTGCTCATTGAAATTTAATATCAGTTAACTAATCAATAGAAAACGAAGTGTTTCGTCGTATCTCAAGTTTCTTCAGCATTACTTACCTATCATCATGTAGATTACAAGTTTAAATCCCTGAATTCAACTTCTTTGCTTGATGGAGCTCTGGGTTATCAGTCTAGACAGTCTGTAAATCGCAGGTTCGAGCCGCATTCCATCCGGCAAACTTTGATCACCCAGATGGTATCATTTATCCTCACATAATAGGTGTAGGATTGCTCACGTTTGGTGTAATCACCGTGTGAACAATATTGAGGTCAGGTGAAGGGTACCCGATAAGATAGATAAGTTGATTGATTAGGTTGTGAACCTTCATCGACTGAAATGGCTTGACATGTATTGCACATACCGAGTCACTGTCTACCTCGACGTGCGATGCTAGGGTCAGTTGGATTATGTTCGAATAGGGTTGAGGGTGACCAGATGAAGATGTGGGACCAGTCGATTGACTGTTAAGTGTGGAAAGTGTGGACCATGTAGCTGGTGTCTCCGAGACAATAGGAATGAGTAATTGAGGACATCTAGTAACATGGCTGAAAATCACTCACAGTGGCGCAAATGTATTCACCCCCGACGTCGTCTACAGCTTGAATATTTACACTAACGTATATCTTCATATTGTTTATTCTCTCACACAACTTTGTTCACCTTGATATCACTCTTACTCTATCGACTTGTTTTTGTAAATTACTATGAAGTGTGGCAACTTGAAGTCACGCGGTTGTGTGCTAGGTTCTACGTTGATTCCGTCTGTCTGCCTGTTCGCCTGTACATCAATTTCCCAGTATTGTGAATTCCCACGTGGTTTCTAAGATCATTTGGTCTTTAGTCAGTGTATATTCCCTTGAAATTTCCAACACCCCAATGGTGTTTAGTTAATTTTCATTACCTAAGTATCACTTTTAATATCTTAAGGAAAGCCTTTTATTGGTGACGATGTGTCGTAACCTATAACAAAGTGTACTAAACTAGCATTATTCACTACATCATTGAATACTCACTCCAAAAAATCATAGTTTGTTGAAGGTGAAAACATAGTCATCTAGTCAAAATTTTGATCTAAGGAAGATTCGGTTGTTTGCTGTTGAGATGTTTAAGAGCAGAATAATTCAACTGTCTTATATTCTGACATGTTAGCTGGTTGGAAGCAGTTAGCAAGAAGTCCTATCTACTAGCACTCACCAACAAGGCGTATCGGTAAGCTCGAGGGAACTGATGCCCCCCTCTTAGGTCCGATTTCGCATCCGCCCATTGTCTTAGAGACGTCACCGCTGAGCTATTCGGGCCTCGACTGACTTCTCGTAGGACTGGGTTAGTTAGATACATCGATTGTTGTATAGTCCTGAGTGCTGACCGAATTCTATCAATCGATGGTAGCTCAGTGTTAACGTCGTTGACTGCAACACTGGTTGGCTTGAATTCGGATCCTTTGAGGGGATATCAGTTCCATTGAGGTTGCAGATACACCTACCTAGCTGACGAGTGTCAACAATCATGAAACGTAGGTTGCACAGGGCTCCTTACTGATTACCTCCAATCAACTAACATCCAGCAAAGTACACCTCGTTGATGAGCTTCCTAACTTGGTGGCCATATTGCAAAATGACCGATAGAATTCGATGGGCGCTCAAGACTAGACAATATGAAATTAATTGCTCTTCAGTGACCAGTCAGTGTGATATTCTTATGTCTGTACTAAATAATTGCCAGAGTCCTAGTTCTGTTTGTTAAGCGTATCAATAATAAAAGCGTAACATGCTAGAACAGAAATAGGGATAAAGGACTCGAGTAGAAGATAGACAAAGGTGTGTCAAAATCTTGACATCTATTTTCACTCTATCATCAAGGAACTCTGAATATTTTCGCTTAACGTCTCTTAGGCCCAAGTAAGGTGGTCAGCTTGTAAACTAATGCCATATAGTTTGCGTTTGGATACCGTTAATTATACATCAACTTCATCTTTCTCCTGCTATCATCATTGTCTGAATCGACAGGAGTTAAGGTGTTTATCAGGTCTTCTTTTTGGTTGATATGTTATCACAAACCTCCGTATCGTACTGACTGTAAAAGTATGGCTTATTGCTTTAGATATTAGACTTTGAAGCAGTAAGTTCATGATTCAGAACTCGCTTCATCCATTTTGTCTGAGGAGACACACATTTGTTTTGAGTGACACATAAAATAGTGCACAGAAACCCATAGTGTGCATAGGCCAGGTACTGTTTCATTATACCAATCAGCTTTTATTTACTTATAAACCTGAGAATTTTTACTAAGATGCATACTGCAAGTTGATTGACTCACGCTAAAAATATTAGCTATTTGATTGAGATTCAGTATGACTCACGTCAATAGTCAGAGACTTCGTGGACTGTTGATCTAATTACCGTTAACCATCTTTCAATTCCATCCTACTTTGGGTAACATTGCACTTCGAAATAGGCTTTGACTTGTCGGAGACTCACCTCATATTTTAGCCACGTCAGTCGGTGAAGGCGCACAACCTCATCGATTGACCTCTCTTTCTTGCCTAACACCCTTCGCCCAACCTCGACACTGCTCATATGGTGATCCTTACGAATAGAAGCAATGTTACGAAGACACCTGTAGTCTGTAGTCTCTGTATACCTTTTATTTTCAACGGCTATGTCTCACTTTTGTATAACAGGACAGAATGGACTGCAAGTCAGTATGCTCATCCTTCAATAAGCAGTTGGATATTTCGTCGACGCCAAAGATGGACGTACTCTGTTCTCTCGTATCCGAGTTGAGATTTTGTAGATGACCAACCCATCCGGACCGATGCAACTTCCGAAGTAGGTGAGGTGGTATACTCCTTCTACCACTTAATGCCTTTATAGTTAAACTAGGAGTATCTGTCCACCGGTCCGTAAGGTTTATCTTAAATGTGACCAGTACTAAACGTTCGCCAAACATATACAGATTTCTGCTCAAGGCATTGGAAAGATTTTGTCAACCTCTTCACCCAACTACAAAATGTCATCTGTTTACTCCAAGACAACCACATGACCTCTAGGGAGTAGGTCAATCTTTGCGAAGTCAGACGTACTTAAGGTTATTTTCACTGATATATATGTAACGAACGATGATAGCAGGCATTTTTAGTGGACACCGCTTCAGATGACAAATGCCTATAAGTCTTAATACTGGTGTGGGAGTTTCAGCCGAGGGTCTTGATTCTCACTACATACTTGCCAAGTACTTCATTCTCGGCCAGAGGTTCCCACTGAGCCTATATGTTGACATAGTCGAGTGGCATCATTAGGTGAAGAAATGCGCCAAGTGTTGGCCATCGGTAAGTATGCCTGTGTTCAAGGACCTGTCTAAAGGTGAGAATCTGATCGATGCACCCTCTTCTAGGTCTGAAAGCTGACTGGTTTTCTCGAGCTGCAGGTAGGCTTTGGAGAACTATAGACTCAATGATTTTAGGCGCTATGTTAGTTAGACTGATGATGATAGCCTTGTGTTTGTCACAAGAAGACCTATCTTCTTCTTTGTAAACTAGAATCATCAGTGATCTCAACCAATTTCACGAAACTACTTCCGATTCCCGTACACTAACTACCAACTTCGTTACCCTGCTCAATGAGTTTCTACCTCCTTCCTTAAAATCTTCTGGCGGCAAACAATCACGTCCTGCTACTTTGCATCGTTTCAGGTTTGAAATGGCCTTCTCAACTTCTAGGAGAGCTGGAGGATAACAGAAGCCTATCTGAAGTTACTATATTGAATCCTGCGATGTGTCTGTTACTAGGCAGGTAGTCACAGGAAAAGTCAGTAATGTTACACAGTGTTAGGTGGCTGTTGAGCAATCGGCAGTAAACCTGCTCGGTCTAGGTTTCATGCTGGTTGACACTCATTAGCAATGCGTATTTGTCACCTCTAGGGAATGGATGTCCGACGAGAGATTTAAACTCAGATCGCTGAGTGCTGTAGTCAGAGACGTTACCACTGAGCTATTCGGATTGCGACTACTGACCTTTTGTTGGACTAGATTAAGCACACTAATTGGTGATTGGAGAATGATGAATTTCATGTTGCAGGTATCCAATACTTTATTATTGATAAATTCGACTTAATAATGGTAAGATTTATTTTCTCCTAGTTAAAAATGGTTCATTGTTTGTTTGAACAGTTGCGTATTAGGTGTAATTTACCAATTAACATTTTATTCCACCAGTAACACGTTAACTTTTAAAACAAAAAATTTCCATTTCAGGCAGTTGAACTTGCTCCAGAGTCTAAGCGTATGCGAACTGATAATCATCTGAACAACTTAACAACAACTGATGATGACTGTCCAACATATTTAACAGAGCCTTGTTTACGTAAATTTCATAAGGGCAGTTATACTTTACTCTCAGATGTTGATATGTTAAATCAAGGTTGGAGAGTGGAATGCATACTACACATTCATGGTTATTGTGGCAGTGGTCATGGTGGCGATTATGATTTGGTTTGCCAGGATAGTAAAATAGAGGACTGTAGTCGAATCAATAGTCGATCAGCTTGGAATTCTTCATGGGGTGGACAAATGGTCTATGTGACTGATGGTGAAACAGATGAGGTAAGTTCAATTACTGAGTTGTGCGTTTATTTTTGTGTATGTGTGAAGCATAATTGTTTTTAGATAGTGTGTTTATATAAAAAAAGGTTCTTAATTCATATTCGTTTCTATATGATTTGACTATTTAGTGAGCATTGTGGCTGAGTGACCCAACCACTGAACTTTCACCCAGTAAATTACAAGCTCGAGTCCCTCTCCACTAATCAAGCTCTTGCCACTCAGACAATTTCATTATCTTTTACACAATCGATGTGGTTCATTGCTCAACACACTAATGTGCATGTAATTACTAAGTTGCATTTCTTTTCGGTTTTTGGCATGAAAACGGTTTATACTCACTAGAATCACATCAGCTCTGGTATCATTTTTACAAGAGGTGGTAAGACAAGTTCATGCACTGTCTCGATGATATCATCTTCGAAACCTCAACTCGGTTACAGTAGGCCCGTTTGGCACTTGTCACCTTAAGTCATCTGTGGTGCCAGCTGGCAAGATACCCTACTATCTATTAAAGGACAACTGGACTGGACCGCAGTCCGTTCTGTCCTGTTATATGGCTGTGAGACATGACCATTAAAAGTAGATAATATGAAGCGATTATAGAATTTTGATCACAAGCATCTTCGTAGCATTCCTCGCATGAGCCGTACGAGTTGGGGGTCTGCCTTGTTATACTAATGAACTGAAGAAATGAAAATAAAGACTTCAGAAAGGCCTTATCGCCTAAATTATTTGAATTATTTTAAATAACATACGTAAGACCTATTTTCTGTCATTACTGTATAGCTTGACTCAGGAAACTTCTACTGACTCCTGACTCAATTCCATACAATTATTTGCTATGAAGTAATTCTGTGTTAATTGAAATCAGTTACTGTGTATTATTCCATTTTATATGTTTGGGATCAGTTGTTACATTTTTGAAAAATCAGTCATGATACACACTGTGAATATGTAATTCAGTTAAGATGACGTTGAATAAATGGACAGGCAGTAATCAGTCTTAGTTCTCAACTGTACAGCTGGAGGGAGGGTGCGCGAGGGAGAGTTGGTAACTCATACGCATGGTTGAAGAATGACTTGAAAGACCACTCTACAAATTACTAAAATTTATCAATCAGGTTTCGCTATTTTGGCTTGTAAAGTGATAGCTTTTCATAAAATACAGAAATGTAATTGGTTATCTCAATGGTTTTTAGGGTGAACTTTAAAGTTATTCCCGATTGAAGAGCAGCAAAGACGATGATATTCAGATAGTGATACATAAAGTCAGAATGATGTATCGATATCGATGTTGTATATCTTTCAGTTGTCAGCTCAAATGCATGATAGCAAGGCGTATAAGTTTACTTGTTGTCATAAGAAATTAGTGAGTAAAGTGTCTTGTTTTCAATCAATTTATGCTACTGTCTTGTTTTCATTTTTCATAGTTGCTTACAGTCACACCGTCTGACAATGCTTTGACTTTGGTGTATGTCGATTCATGTACAACGAGTTTCTTGAAGTATATCAAGAAAACAGCTGGTGAGTCTTCCGTGGAAAAGCTAAGCGATGAAGAAGGTAACCTTGATAACTTACCGTCTGTTGTTGAACCCTCTCATCTGAGTGAAAATCATATTGACAAGGAATCTGTTCGGTTCTATGACTTATTTGTCAAGTATTTTGAGTCTAGATCAGATCTAGAAGAAGATGTGAACAGCCAAAACTGTGCTTTGGGAGAGGATGATGATGTTATCAGTAACAACAGTGCTGATGATGATGGATCGAGTTTGTCACCGTCTGAGGACGATGATGATGATGATGATGATGACGAGGAGGAAGAGGAGAAGGGTGAACAGGAAGAAGTGGACCTAACTTAAAGTTGACCTGTGTACATACATACATATATATACCTTTAATTAATTATATTTTCTAATGAATAAATCTCTTTATATCTAGTGCGTTCGTTTACCATAAGAGCGTTTCTGGACTACTGACATTCATCAGTGTGTTCCTTAGTCCAAAAAGGGAGTGGGAAGCATCGTGGGTGTGTAACGCGCGCAGACCAACATTTGCTGCTATCTTATCATGTTAGTTATCTTTCTCCATTGTAATTACTTAAATAAGTTGTATTGACTGAAATGGATGCCCGTTTGGGGTCCCACCATGCCCAATACACTCAGTAGAGACCAACAGCTGCACATCCATAGATGAAGTCATACTGCAAACTATATGATGATAGAATTTTCCTTGAGAATAGCCAATATCTGGGACAGAGCTACTCCTCCTCCCCCTCGACTCTGTCGATAGGAGCGATTGAAAAAGATCCCTCTTGGAAAGAAAATCCTTCTCATCCCATAGAGTTTAACCGCTAGTGGCATATTTTTTTTAATGTAAAGTCGAAGCAATCAAATCTAAATATCTTCCCTTCTTTACTTGGTTTTACGGAACGAGGAAAAGTGTTTCCACTGTGAGATCATTGAAAAGAGGTGGATTGATACTTTCGTTGCGTAAAGAAAAAGTCAGAACTCTTGTACAGATCACGTGAATATCCATCCAATAGCCAATGTGCCGCACCTATTTCATCTGGGCTAATTATACTACTTGGTTGTCTAAACCTATGCAACTGTTTGGAAGTAGAACGCCCTGACCAATGAGCTACAGATTTTTATTATTATGTATAAATATTCAGAAAGTCTACGTAAAATAACACTTAACTCGGTTTATTGCAATATTAAATTCACAATGGAACGGAAAACCAGTGACGTGTCCAACTTCTCAGATTTAGATTTCATTTGATCACGAAGTGTTGGAATTTGTCAGGATGATAATTCATTCGAAGGATATTTGAAGTGTACAATAGCTTAGCCTTCATAACTTCTTTGCGTTGAGTTATAATCAGATTTTGGTGTGGTCACTGTATAAAATAGCTGGGAAGTTGTGTTTAATAAATCGGTCAGAGACGTCAGTCTGAACGGTTTATAGTTAAGTGTGGCGATGAAATACACCCAAAGATTAAGATGAGTGGACTAGGAAAAAACTCCACATTCATCTGACTAGTATATAGGGGTAACTATATCATCGTTAAAGTTAATCGAATGTGGGAGACGATAGTCAGCACCATATTTTGAGTGGCCAGACAGATACTTTATTCACAGCGCACACTTTTCATTTGATAAATAAAAAGAAGCAACACTGGCATTTGAAGCGATTTTCTGCTGGTCCGAATCTCGTAACAGAACTATTCACCTACATGTGAGTACATCCAACTGGCCAGTCACCTACACAACGAAGCGCATGCAGTTTTCTTCCTTGTTACTCACTACCGATTGTAAAGGGAATAAAAGTAAGTAACTAAACTTTGAACTTCATCAATTCACAGGTAGAGATAGATGAGAAGAATATAGAATTTGGCAAATATATGCTTGTCTGAATATTTTCGCAGATATCTTTAGAGAATGGAAAAGTGTGAATCGGATACAATACATGAAGTAGCTGGAGAAAATGTTTACACGATAATTATTAAACAGTACAACTCAATCAAGTCTAGGTGTTTATCTATTAGGCCATAAAATACACCAATTATCTGATCCGGATTTTCAGCACTAATATCAAGTAGTGTGGTCAAGATTAAGTGATAATTACGGATCACTGATTCACATATCACCTGGATGAACCCCATGGTGGATACAGTGAAGTGAAGATCTGGCTGTACAGCAGCTGGGTGTCATAGCTTAGTCGATTGAGAGCTGGACAGGGATCCCGAAGACCACTGAATCGAATCCTGTCACAATCCCAGACTAGCTGGAGAAGACTGGTGTGTGCACTGAAACGAACCCAACTGGTCAGTATTTAGACTAAACATTAGTCTGGTCATATCACATGCAAATATCTACTTCCTCACAATTCCTGCTTATGGCTTGTAGGATGTGATGGCTACAACATTTAGTCGCTCATCAACAGACAGTTGTTTAAACTATCCCGATGTGACCATCAAAGTATTCAACTTAATTGGATGTGTATTATATGGTTAAGTTGAGATGGGACTGAGAATTAACTGACAATCATAGTGATACCTCTTCCTCGTATTTGACTCAGCAGTGACTAACCACAACTTGGAAGCGATTAAAGGTGAGTTCTACAGTCAGCTAAACCACCTTTACCCTATATTATATTATGAAAATGGTACGTTCCAACCAGTTTCCATCCTTCATTCTTTCATCTTTGTAGTAAAAGGTAGCAATATATACTGACCATCTACTCATCCTGCACTTGTGTATAAAACTTTCTAGTTTTCCAACTCACACATGGGTATGCGCAAGACAAGAAGCAAAACGTAGTCGACACCATTAATTAATGATAGGACAAAAGATAACTGACTATTTTCTCCTTCAGTACAATGAACACTGAGCATCCTAAATAGATCTGTTTGAAATATATGAGGAGTTTCTAAAAATAGCAGATATCTGACAATCCGATTTCATTGGTATGGCGTACAGAACGCCTTCATTCTACTACAAAAGATATAACTAATTCAAATTGGCACTGATTCACAGTAAGTTTGCCGTGTTTTTTCCACAAATTCAAATAGCATTGGTAACCAAGGCTAAATGGGCTACATATAGTTTTCACTAGTAGTTAAAACTACCATCATCCAATCTTGTATCAGATGGTCAATGCACCACGCCTTCCAGTCAGAGTCACTGACCGTCATAACGTGTTTCTCAAACAGCGTATGTTCAACTTGATTAGCAGAAGGAATTGTTCGTCGCACGTGGAAACGTAAAGCACTCATTTGAAAGTATACCGTTTTACTGGTTATGATTTTTGAGGATCCACCTCCTTGAAGTTCAGTTTTGAAGTTTAACGAATAGTTGTATACCCCGCAACTAATTATGTGCAGAATACGTATATTGAGTCGTGTGCATGTATACAATTCGTCTTCGCAGTGTATGCAAAACTCATCAGGGTGTTAGTCTACTAGCAATGGAGCCTTATGTTGTGGCTGATATCATACTTCACAAACTATGCAAAAAGCATGGGAATCTGATCAATGAGGAGAAAGTGGAGATTCGCCAAGATCAAGCATAGACCGACGATGGTTTGACCTAATGGCAGATACTTAGACGCCATCAGAAGCATTGCATTCGTAAGATGTAGTGCTTTGTGATGAAGGATCGTCGGGTTTTGTTGACATTTGTAAGTACTTCATTGGTCTCTTGATGTTTTCCGGGAGACATCTCGATGAATTCAGAAATTCACAGTCGTAGCTGAGAATCAACATAAGCTGCGAACACGCTGTAGTTTTCTTGCATCTTCGATTTCTAAGAATTAAAATGTGAGTTGTGGATGCTTCTTCGGATGTATCATCAAGACTATTTCTTCAGCAACGCACTACTGTTTTCATTTCCATGCTTTCTTCTGGCTTCTGCCATAACAATATTGCTTTGATATTCTGTATGCCACACATCTTGATGCTCATGATGTTGTGCTATGTGCTTGCAGCAATCCCTATTCTTTGTATGTGATATAAAATCCTTCTTATCTTAGCCTGCGAACTGCCACTACCTGTGATGAAATAAAGATGTTTAACAACAGCGCAGAAAATTTTCATCACCAAATAGAACAATCATATCCGTTTAACTGATATGTACTTGTAAATTCAGGCATACTTTAATTATTATAACTAACATTATTATTTGACAACATCAACAGTGACTGAATTCGTGACATGATATTTCCGAAAAGCTGCGGCATATTCATAGGATTCCAGCACTTGAAGTGAGGTAGTACGGCCTACCTAGGTACATACGCTCGCGATTTTCGCACCATTCAATTACACGGGTTTCCGCGTATTACTTGGCAGCTGAGTGAAAGGTCAAGAAGAAGAAGTTGAATGCAACAGATATTTGCTTCAATGCACGATTTCACATAATGCTAATGATGAGTGGGGGCTGAAATCGACGACTTGAGCTTCATCTTGTTCGATAGTCGTCACTTGAGTGTGCTGCTGTTCAGTAAGCAACGTTGCTCAAACTGTGGTGAGAAGCTAGAAACCATTGCTTCAAATATGGCATCATTATCTAGTAGGTTACAATTCATAGGATCACATCGTATGACTTCAACAACCATATCAGAATAACTACGGATTTTTTCGAATGACATAGGCAAATGACTTTCACACATAATCAGATTGAATCATAACACGAAACCCATCTCTCATAATAACGAAACTGTCACTAATGAGAAAACGGTTTGGAAGGAGCTACAACAACAAGTGTTCGAACTTACATACAGAAACAAAGTATGTTTATTGGACTACAACTTTATAATTATCAACACCCAGGATTTATTCATTATGAAAGAGACCAGCAAAGTCTGACACTTACCGACCATAAGGTTATCACGACCCATGATGTTCTGGAAGTTCACTAGACACGTTCAAACAAATTTATTGCTTCTGGATGCTGGAGTTGAAAAATGCAGATGTTTAGCTCTCAGTTGTAATATTCAGCAGGATTACGAATCTTTGATGTGAAATAGTATGAGCATACATGAATTATACATTTCTGGAATCATCAGTGAAGTACAGTAAATAAACAACTTGTATACATTCCCCCATGAACTTTTCATGACTATCCTCAGCAAATAGTATGAGGTGTTACAATGGAAGTATTTGCTTCAAGCCTTATTTTTCTCCAGATGAAACATGTAATGTCCAGATACAAACCCTAGTTTTTGTTAATGCGAAAACAATACTACTACTTGTCTAACTTGTAATTTCTTGCATACTTATTCCGCTGGCGTGTTTCATTACACAAACATGTAGCACTTATATCCTCTATTGACAGAATAGGTGGAGATTGAGATTACCTGCCATAAAGATACTTATTTATACCTGTAAAAATGGTGTGTGCCTGTATATTCAGGAATAAATACCATTATTATATTCAATT